GTTTCGTTTGCCAAGACGTTTAGAGAAATATTTGAAATCATATCGGGTGTGATGCTACACATTGTTTCTGAACCAGAACTTTTGTGGACAAAAAAAAAAAAAAAGGCCAATTTAAAACACACAATGTCCTCATGCAACAATAAGCGCTTATACCCAATTACAAACATACGGTATAAATTACCTGGTTTAATTCAAACCTGACATCACTTTTCAGTCCAGTGCTGCCAGATTGTTCCTTGAAATGGTGGTAAAGTTCTCCAAAGAATCTGCTCACATTTTACCGACCCTTATAACCATTATATTTTCCTCTGGACACCAATTAAAGCGGCAGTATGACTGCTTTTTTGGAGGTCACTTGGGACAATTGCAAATAGTTTGGAATTCAGACTGCTGTTCCCTTTTAATATGATGTAAATCTAATTATTATTAAGGCAATGAAATGTTCTCCAGCAGTTACACAGTGCTGTACAGATAAGCGCATAACTCTGCCAAACAGAATTCCCAGAGAGTAAAAGCTTTGAATGTCAGTGGTTATATTTTCATTATTGCTTGCAATTGGAAAAGCCTTGTAATATGTCTAGGGGATAAGTATCCAGTGACTGGAAGGAGTGTGGTCTGCTCAGCTCCTTCCTTAGTTTTGATTGGCTTTTGGATCACAGCCAAATGACAACCCAGGAAAGTATATTTATTTCCCCAGATTTTAAACAAACTGGACGTTTTTGTCTGTTTTTTCTCTTTTTTTTTTTTTTTCGGCCTCAATCACGTGTCAGAATCTGAGTATTAGGAGAGCTGATGATGCCTGTAGTAACACGGAGCAAATCTTTCCTCATCGTCCGATTGCTTGTCCAGAGAGATGAACGCGAGAGAACAGCAGAAAGCCGGACAGCCGGTCATCTGTGGAGCTGCAAATCACTGCAGATACAACAAGGGAGATAAACAAGGTGACCGGAGCGTGGCCTGGTCTGGAAAAACCACATTTGAGCGAACAGGAATGTATAACCCACTGCATTGTGGGTTTGTGTCTGGGGGGGGAAAGAGTTCAGACTCTCTGACTCACGGGGTGCTGTTAGGATACCGGGGTAGCAGTGGTGGCAGGGGGTGGGGGGGGCTGCAAAGGGGAGAAGGGGGAACAGAAGAATCTTAACTTTTGGGAATCGGTGAGTAGCACGAGGAGGAGTGTGAGTCATGGCCAGGATGTTCTCTACATCTGTCTCCTTCGTACAGTAGCTGTTTAATGATTGTTTTTCTTTCGTTTTTAGCTTTAATGAAACGCACCAGGCATTAGGGAAACTCTCAGTCTTCATCAGCAGCATCTGTTAAGCATCTCTGGCGTCTGCTGTAGCCTGTCTTGGATCTTTAGTTTCATTGAAAGATTAGTTCCGAATAAAAAATGGAAATCATGGCTTGCAATTGGAAAAGCCTTGTAGAGACTAAGCTTATACTTAGTCTCTACAAGGGCTTACAGAGCTCATGTAGAGAATACTAAGCCACAACTACAGGCAGGTATGAGATTCTCCCTGTACAAGTGACGCATCAGGGGTTTTACCCAAAAATTCAAAACTAAAATAAATAACACAATCTACTCGCTATTTTTGTGAATCGAAAACCAAAACGTATTCTTACTGCTGTTAAAAAAAACTGTGTTCACTTTCTCTTGCATCTTATTCACGAGTCTACTTTTTTTAAGGTGGAAAATTTGCTAATTTCTTTCATCATTGTGGCTTGAAGCAGTTATATTAAGCTGCAAATACCTATGTAAGCCACTTAGCTATAAGGCTAGCATTACATTAAATATACAGAAGTTGTTAAACATTTATTTAGTAGTACCTTAGGAAAAAAAAAAGATATTTTTCTTTAATTATCTGCTCCTTCAACTAACTCTTTAACTTTGCTTTTCCCTTTCTTTGAAGTGTCAAAGAGACTGCTCCAGGAGCCAGGCCGCAGACCAACGGTGTACCACCCACCCTCTGCCACCCGTGACCCCAATGTGGTGGGAGACGGGCCTTCTGGGGGAAGTTCAGGCCAGAACACTGTTCCAAGTAAGCAACAGAGCAAATGCACAAGCTGATAGCTCCAGACTCAAACGTTCAGCCTTTTAAAGAGAACACTTGAACAGTCTTGAAGCCTTCCAGGACTCACGACCAATCATAATTTATGGCTCAAGTTTAGAGGTATGTGTATACTAAAAAGTCACATGTGTAACTGTTTCCATATGTGTCGAGTTCACGTTGTGATCAGTGGCCTTTCAAACATTAAGCATTCGAGGATCCACTGATTAGCCTGCATGTAAGCATAGTCTAACCCCGTCTTATAATGTCAAACATCCAGGGAGGTAAAAAGACAGAGAAAGACTGAAATTGGAAAAAAGTGGAGAGCCTGGCAATGAAGAAAACTCAAACAAAGCTTCATTCTTTAGGGACACTGGCTCACATCCAACACTCATTACTCTGCTCAGCTACCGGCACAGTACTGATCAGGAGGATGCTTGAATGAACAAGGAGTTAATAGAGAGGTGGGGGGGGGGGAGCACAGGGGAACTGGGAATGATGCAGCACTGACAGCCTCTGACTCATAAATAGATTCACTTCCTTGCACAACTTAAAAAAAAAAATCCTTTATGAGTTTATCGGGAAAAACCTGTTTTTATCTCTAATGTGACTGTACAATGGCAGACAGACGTATGTCACAGGAAAACAGTTAAAGGTACATAGTTTGAACCTATGCTAAAGCCAGCTAAAAATGTCAACAGCTTGTTGTTTTGATATGCAGACTTGTTGGAAATGCACAGCATCTGGAATGTGCCGTCTCTAATCATTGTCTGTGTTTTAGATCCAGGTGTTAAAGAGCGTTTTTCTTTAGAAAAAGTGCCCTATTTTCTTCTGCAATGTAGTTTTAAGTTTTTTTCAACAAATTGTTTTTTTTATTTTATTATTGAAGCAACATTCTTCTGTTTCCTGTGTTTTCTCTTCACGGTTTTGTGGATATTTTAGTGTTTGATATAAAGAGAGATACCCATGTTGAATGTTGGACTTAGGTGCTCGCCACATTAATGGGTCCCGGTGGAACCACTTAACTGCACAGTGAGCAACCCCAATCTAAGCTGTATTTATCAGATAAAAAAGTCTGACACACCTTAAGAAACCTGCAATTAGAGGTAAGACAGTTTACCAAAGCCTGCTTACCTTCACCAAACAAAAAAGTCCAACCGTAGTAGCATGACGATGTAACCACACTCGGATGCATCTTGCATCTGCTTTTAGGTTATTTTTCTGGCAGTGCATTGTTCATTCATGGAGATTATGTTCTGGCTAAAAAGAGCAACAATTACACCGGGACATAGATGACCAAAGGCAACACAAATAGAAATGACGAAAATCCAGAGTAGCAAAAAGTTGTTACTTTTTATGAACACAACCTCCTGAGACATAGGGGGCTAGTTTTGAAATGTTGCCAAACTGAAAACTATTTCCATGTGGTTTTCTGTCGCTTAAAGTTTTTGAGTCAGAGTAAATCAAACAGAAGCAGATGTTGTTCCACCTTCTGTATTTCTCTGTGCATCTTTGACAAAACATAGCGAAATTCTCCTGAGAGGCCTTAGGTGACTCGGTTTTCTGACGGATGTTTGCACAATACGCACTTGTTTTTGCCATAAATTACCCTCGTAATGATGAATTGCTCGCACTGAATGTAATGGGCTCGAAGTTGAAGCTTCGCGGTGACTTACTGCTTTTAAAACTGCAACCTTTAGCTCGGAGCCCCGACAAGAAGAAACCATCTGACACCAGAAGAGGCGGCGGAAACAGTTCATCACAGCCATCAGGCATGAACCCTGTGATCAACTCCACCTCCAGAGCCAACATGGCTCTCATCAGCAATGCACTGGCGGCGTACACCTACATATCAGGTAGGACGCTGTTGGCGAAATCTAATGAGGCATCACAGAATATCCAGATGTCAGCCGTAGTAGTGATTGCACTCATCTGATATCATGAAGGAAAAAAGGGCAAAAGAAGGAGAAAAACTGTAGGTCATCTGAACAGACTTTATTAGAGGGTTTTATATCCAACTCTGTGACCGAAAAAATTGTTTATTTGCAACGAAATGCATTGTGTATGCATAAAAATAAACATCCAAGAACATTAGCTCGCACAAACTAAAAACTGTCTTGCGTATTTAATAGTAATAGCATTTTATGATCAAAAAATGTTTGCTGCAGAAGTTACGCCACAGTCAAAGAATACATTTTCTTTTATCATTATTATTATTATTATTATTATTATTATTATTTCTTCTTTAGTTGAAACTTCAAGTGCATAAGTGAGTGTGATGATGCAGTTTCAAAAATGCTGAGATTATTTTTTCTCAGTGTAGTCAAAAGATCATGTGGATCCATCGATTTCGCCGCAGCGGAGCTAAATGTAAACAACCAGTGAGAGCCAAACCACGGAGATGATTGCAAAGTGGGATTTCTTCCTTGAGGACAAACAAAATTCTCAGAATTTGGAGTGTATTTTTTGCAAAGAAGAATCTGAGATCTGTTCTCTCAGGATGACGTTTTTCTTCATTTTGTGCTTAGACCAGCTTGTTTCGCTCACAAGAGAAGAGAACGTCTGAAATGCTCCCAGAAATGTGGAAAACTACCAAACAGATGCTCCATACTTATTGATTCATTAATTTAAATTATTCTTAGTGCAATTATCAAATTGAAAATTTTGGAAAACATGACCTTCAAACACATTCTTTAAATGGCTAAAAAATTAAAATAAATCTACGTTGTATATTAATTATTGTTAATAATGGAAAATAGTTCAGTCCAAGTTTGTTCCATCTCCATATTGTTGTCCGCCTGTGTTTTTAATGCTTTTAAAGCCTGAAAACGTTTTGGCATGCTGTTTGTTTTTATAAATATAATGTAATGTTTACATAAATTCCCAATAGGCCTACTTAAATTAGATATCTAATTAGGTCTAATCAAATATTTGCCCTCTTTCCTATTAGAAACCCACTAATTTGGAACTTTTCCTCTTCCGATGCTCCTTCTCTTCAAAAACAGATCATCCCGAAAGGGCAGCGCTGTTCTTCGTCTGCGGTGTGTGTCTGGGCCTCTTCCTCACCCTCTTTGCCCTGGTGGTCCAGATCTCCTGTCGCACAGACTGCCAGTCTCGGAAGCGGCCAGCCGTCAAGAAACCGCCCCGCCCCGCCCACTCATCCTCGGACTCCAGCGACTCGGACTCGGACTGGGACACCACGTCGGACCTGTCGGCGCGGAGGCACAGGCGCTTCGAGCGCACGCTCAACATGAACGTTTTCACGTCAGCGGAGGAGTTGGAGCGAGCCCAGCGGCTCGAGGAGAGGGAGCGGATCATACGGGAGATCTGGATGAACGGGCAGCCCGACATTCCAGGGACACGGAGCCTCAATCGGTATTACTGAGCACCGCCTTCGGTCGTTCTTGTTGAAGACTTCCTTGAACTAAATCCAGGAGGCACTTGGTCATGAGGGCAGGAACCGGAGAAGGCCGGCACGGAGCTTTGGAAGCAAGCATGCAAATGCAGCTGTGGACTCTGAAAACAGAGGGGAGGTTTTTTGCAGGCTTGTAAGGTGGTCTGCGTGTTCCACTGGGTGTCATAAGGTGCAGCCCCCCCCCCTCAGTCAAGCAATAAGCTTGGGCTCCACACGGCAAGCTTACCTCGCCCTTACTGCCGGAAGTGAGGGGTGAAGGGGCAACACCGACTCTCTGTTGACTTCAGTAGGCCTTTTTGAAGTCGGGATTTATGGGTTGGTTGCCTTGGACATACACAGGCCTGCAGAGACTACATGGAGGCTGAAGGACCACGGCCTCACAGGGGTCTATTACACACAGAACACTTGGCAGCTGGATGAGACTGTGAAACTTTGAGCGTTCTGCTCTCTACTCTCCAGTATTCAGTATGAACTTCAACAAAGAAAAGAAAAAAAAAAAGTGCGCTTGACAATGAGATGAATTAAGACAATCTTTCCACGGTGAACCATGCTGCCTTTGAGCTTCGTAAAACCAAAAGATTTTGTGTGCGTGCGTGTGCTTGTGTGAGTGCGAGGGATTCATCTCAATCCTTATGAGACGTATTTTATAATATTTAATAGATGTTGACCTTTTGCTCTCAAGTATGGTTTATTTTTTAAATATTTTTATACGTGGCAAAAGTTGTCTGGCACCTCAGGGATGCAATCCTAGTGTTTCTGTGTTTGGCTGATGCGCTTTCTTCCTAAAAAAAAAAAAAAAAAAAAAAAAAAAAAAAAAAAAGTGGGGTCATCAGCAGACCAAATAAATTCTTTTTTTTTTTTTTAAGGCATTGAAAGAAAATAGCTAGAAATATGATGCAAAGAGCCTCCAAGAGGTTTTTAATGATTTATAACCTTATTTTTGATACAGTAATTCACAGATCAGTGCCTTTTCCTAGCTATGGAAGATAGTTGGTAGAATTTAACAAATGTTTTAAACAGGTGAGCTAATTAACTCAAAATACTTCATTTGCATGCCACTATTACAGTAAAGTCACAATGGTAAGGTGAAGCTTGTGTCACATCTGAATGTTTCTATTTAATATTGCACTTGCTATGTACTCTGATGGATATGAAAATTACAACAATATACCAGTTTCGTACCAGTGGTTTTGCTTGAACGTTTTTTTTTCTTTCTTTTTTTTTTTTTTTTTCCTGTTTTGGTCTTCACTCCTTAAACATTGTGTGGAGTGCTGGGCTATCGCCAATTGTAAAGCTAGTGGTCCTGAACAGATGTTTGTGGCTATCTGAAGAAGGCACCAGCTCTGCACAATAAACAAGTAGGTATAAGTAAATTAGAATGCATTGAAAAGTTCATTTGTACAAGTCAATCCGTTCAAACATGAAATTCAATCAGAGTGGCTTATTTCAAACATTTGTTTCTGTTAACTTTGATTAATATGAGGTGCAGCTAGTAAAAACACAACATTCAGTTATTGAGAAAATTTTTAAGAGATAAGACCAATAAAAACACGTTGTTTTGTTTTGTTTTGTTTTACTGTTATTTTACACAATCCTCATGTTATTACACAAACTGCTGGTGCAGAGACTGCTGTCTTCAAGCGTATTAATATTACGTTTAATGGAGCAATGTATTCCAGGAGAAGTTCAGACCAAGTCGAGCAAATTTAATCCATGGAACATGGGCATACAATTCATTAGGCTAACATTTATGCATTCGAAAAAAAAATTATTATTTTTTTTGTCTTTTCTAACTAACCTCCTGGTTATTTATTAGCTGTAAGCCTTATTCATCAAAATCAAAAAGCTTAAGCTCTTGCTTTTGAATTCAGCTATTGTCATGAATGAGTTATTTGATGATATTCTAATTTATTGAGATGCACCCCCCTAGCTGACATGTAACCTGCTTTTGTTTTTCAGTCACATTGCCAGTTTGATAACATAAGCTACTGCCTTTGGCTTTGTAATATTTTAACAGAGTTTTGTTACAGAACACACAGGGCATTTCAGAGATATTATTATAACGGACCAGTCCACATGGACTATTATGCCTATGTGATAAATAAATTAAACTTTGCTATCTGTCAGAATAAACTATGTCATCTGTGCTTTAAATAAACTGTGTTCAAATTAAGTGATCATCCACATTGTCTTTTCTTTCTTTTCTTATTTTTCTCTTCAAAAACATTTAAATATGTGCTCTTTACCACATAAAACTGAAGTACTTTTGGTCTTCATACACTGTATATTGTTTTTCTATTTTGGTTTGTAGCCAGGTCATGTTCGTAAATGAGAAGTGGTACTCAACAGCGTACCTGGATAAATCAATAAGTAGGAGAAAAACAACTTAATCATATCTTTAATAATAGCAACAAGTCAGCTGGTCTCAGTGAGATGTGAGCTTTGTTGCCACCTGCTGGCTGAATAACAGTTATGCAACTTGTGTTATACAGAAACAAACTTCAGGCTGCTGTGATAAGAAATAACAGTGTTGATATCCGTATTGATTCATCAGCATGGATGAATCTGTCTCGTGTCATTTTCGGTGTGGTTAAAAAATAATTCCGCATTTTGCTTTAAAATTGTTGTCGGCTTACGGTTTCCATGGATACCATAACCTAAACAGTGGAAGTGTTGTGCAGCTGCTCGAGTCAAAGAAAAAAAAATCCTTTTAATTTCCTAAAACAGGGAATTACCAGGCTTTTAGAGTGAAGGGAATTTCAGAAGAAAGTCGATACAGAAAATGTCCACCGAGTGGAATAACGGATTACCATTTATACCTGGATACACATTTCGGGATCTGGCGGTAAGTTGTTGAACATATTTTTATTATTATTATTATTATTTTAATTTTTTTAAGGATTTAAGGTCTTGTTTAAGAAGTTCAATTTTATTCGTAAAATAGCTATGTGTCCCCCGGTAATGAAAATGCAGCTACCGCATTCCTTTAGACAGCAAGTCGGGGCTCGTTTAACTTAAAGGTCCGAAAAAACAAACGAATTTCAGAGCTAAGACATTTTCCCCTTAACATACGAGTATGTGAGAATTTCTGGCTTCAGCGACCCAGTTTTCAGTAAGGGTGTCCACGGAGAATGGTAAATTCAAGACATTGTCAGGTCTAGATGAATATAAAGCGACTATAACCTTTACAATCCAACAAGCTTTTTTTTTTTTTTTTACTCTCAGTCCGAGTAAAAAAAACTTGTTTAGAGCCATAAATCCTACATAAATATAAAAAAAAATGTCAAGACCCACCACTTTACTCCTTTTTTTAGGCTTTAAACTAAATATATTTACAGCGAATGTTTGATCCAGCAGCTACATTTTTTTTATATCATTGCTGCTCACACTTTTCTATTTGTGTTGATGAACATGCTTAGTGTTGGTAAGTCCAGATTTACACTGTGATTTGGCTAGGCCTTTGTCATTGACTTCTCAGTGCTCCGTGTGTGCAGAAGACAGCCTTCCATCGGTCCCAGACACTCGGCTATAAGAATGGCTTTGCTCTGTCTTATCGTCCCTCGGTGGTCATTGGGAAGGAGGTTCTAGCAGCAGAGCCATTAACTCACCACGAGATTGATAAACTGTGCTTTGAGACGCCATATACTGTGTATGATAAGCCGGAATATGAAGAATTCATCCCAGCTCATGTGGCACTCGATAAGAAGGTCTGAGATCGCGAAGAAAAATATCTATACAGGTTAGCGTGTACTTTTTTTTTTAATGCCTTTTACTTGCATGCCACGTTTTAGGTTCTTCGCTTCTATGGACACTTCAAGGAGGAAATCTTGCACTCCCCTGCAGAAAGTTACCGTGTTCGCCCCGTGACCATTTACTATTACCTTGAGGATGACAGCATGTGCATCATCGAGCCATCAGTGGTGAACTCTGGGCTACCACAAGGCAAGCGTATCAAACGTCAGCGTTTGCCAAAAAATGAGTTTGGGAATTATTACAACTGGAAAGATCTCAACCTTGCTATGGACCTGGAGGTCTATGGGACCACGTACCGCATCTCAGACTGTGATTTGTTCACTAAGGTACAGTAATTACCACCTATGCGTACCTCACACAAAAAAAGATGCAGTGGCATTCATAGGTCTGCTTTTGGAAACATGCACATTCTTTGTCTATATCTCACATCCTCTGAACAGGAGTTCATGGAGAGTGAGGGCATCGTTTTGAATGAGCCAGAAAAAACACCAGAAGATCCTTACATCAAACGCCGTAGTATCAAACCAAACCAAGAACATGTCAACAAAAGCCCTGCGAAGTTCGAGAAATTATACCGCTTTCTTCATATGGACTCCATGGTAAGTTCAGGGCAGATGGGCGGATTACTTCAAGATGATGGAAAGGGAAGAGCTCAAATAACCATTTGTTACAACCAAGAAATGCTACAGAAGAAGAACACACCGGGTGTCATGCCTGTCAACTAAGAACAGCAAGCTGTCGCGACACTTCACACAAGTTCACCAAAAAAGGACAATAGCAGGACATTTTGCTTGGTTTGATAATCCTCAGTTCTAGCTAGAGCATGTTTGTGTCCCTTCCTTGGATTAACTGCTGCTGGTGATGGTGTAAACATGTGTTTTAGATTTTCTTGAAACTGTTTGGGTGCCTTGGTATATTAATCGACCTTTATTTCAATACTGAAACTTAAATTGGTACTTTTGTTGTCTATGTCCATCCCTTTATGAGCACACTATCTATCTTCTTGGGGAGACTTACAGCAAGACAGTGATCCACCAGAGTAGGAGACTGGACCAATCAGTAACTGTATGGTGTCAATGTGGACCAATATTTCTGAGAAATGTTTCTAACAACTTGGTGACAGTATGCCACAAAGAAATAAGACAATTCTGAAAGGGGGATTTACATTTGTTACGTGGAGAGGGTGCCAAATAAAATCGGCTAGCAGTTGCATTACAAGGTCCAACAAAGCACACACAATAATTTCTAGAAAGACAAAAAAAGGGTAAAATAGTTTAAAATACACTTCTCTTTTTCATGTTTCAGCAATAATTGTAGAAATCAGTCTATAAAACACGTCCATCTTTCAAAGAGGTATTGTTGAATTCAAAATCCTGAGTAGTGATACAGTTCTCCGTCTTTGAATGGCAAGCATGAATTTTGAGTGCAACTACTTATTTTTTTTTTTTTCAGAAGGCGTTAATATGATCTTCATAAGCTGTTTAATTAATTAATTATATCTTAACTCCCTGTTTCTTCTGATTTATGGTCAGGTGCTCCGATTCTACGGCCAGTGGGTCGAATGTGATGCTTATCAGAGTCACACCTGGCCTGTCATCATTTACTATTACCTGGTCGACGACACTGTGGATGTCAGAGAGGCTCATCAACGCAACAGTGGCCGCGACCCTTTCCCTCTTTTCATTAGCCGACAAAGGATACCCAAGAAAGTCAAAGAAGGTAGGTTGCTTTAAGATGTGTAAGCGACTACGTAGCTATTGATATATGTAAATATTTCTTCATTTTAAGTCGAAATATTTTCATACTTAATTTAAAAAAAAATGCTCAAACAATGAACTACTACATAAAATGAAGATGCATGATTAAATTCCACTCCTTTAAGAGAGCTTCCCTAGCATTGTGATGGAGATCTCCGACGACCTTGTAGAGGAGTATATTTCCCCCAAAGACTTCCAGCTGGGTCAAAAGATCAAGCTCCTGAGCCATCACTTCTTTTTGTACGACTGCGACGGCTTCACTAGAGAATATTACCAGAAGAATTACCCAGACATGGACATGAAAGCTGTAGAGATACCAAAGATGGAAGACAAATCAAAGAAGGTATGGCTTTGCTGATTTGCAGAAAAAAAAAAAAAAAAAAAAAAACATAAATTCTGCATTGTGTTGCTCATCATAGATCATACATCTTTTAAATTATCTAATGCTAAAGTGTGTTTGTTTCCGTCCAAAGGCACAGGTGATTCCACCCTACAACGGATTTGGCTCTCTTGAAGACTCTCTCCAAAATTGTTATTCTTTAATTCCTGAGCCTCCCAAACATAACATATTGAAGAGATTGGTAAACAGCAACAAAAAGCTTCGCTACGTTGCCAAGCTGGTGAGATTCCACTGATGAATAATAAACTCTGCCGCAGTAGTATCAACCAAGCATACAGTGCTGCTCAGAGTTTTACATTCGCTCGTCATTCACATTGTTGTCCCATTAATTTCAGGCCTTTAATGAACAATGTGATCTTTTGTTTATCAGAGTGAAATATTTACAGGTTCGAAATAATAGAAAGCCTCAAACGTTCACTAATATTTTCCTAAATTTGCCTTAGCAAGCCAAAGAAACTGTACTCATAATTCGTAGCTGTGTTCGTACTCCTGGCGCGAAACTTTGACACAACTGAGAGTTTCTACAAGACAATGGTGTAAAACTGATTTTAAGTAGGCTACCATTAATTTCTTGAATTTTAACCCTTTGTGGATTAGAGAAATTTTGTAGTCAGCTTAATTGAATTCGCAACTTTATTTCATTGAAGCTGTTTGTCGTATAATTCTTTTAACCTGGAAAACGAATGGTAGAAAAATACTTGTATATCACATTCTGACTGGCACTGTAAGTCAAACAGTGAACTACATTTACTTACTATGGTACATTAAGGAGACACTTAACGCTTCAGTCCCTCCAGACTTAAGTTTTCCTTCACTGTCCCTCAGGACTCCCCGTACCCTGAAGACAGAGACCGGCGTTTTATACTGTCCTACCACCTGGACACCGACATGATCAGCATTTATGAAACGCCAAGGCGCAACTCTGGCATTATTAGTGGGAAGTTTCTGGCAAAGTGCCAAGTCGCCAAGCCAGGCTCCACTGTGGATAATCCTGTGTACTACACACCTGCAGACCTTGTTATCGGAGCCACTGTGGAGGGTAATCCTAATTTCAGTCCTGAAAGATTGTTATGAAGTCGTGCAAATGTTACAAGTCTTGCTACAGCTGTGCTGTAAATATGTCATACATGGACCGTGAGATCTGCCCAATAAGTCAGTTACAAGACTTTAACACAGAGCTTACCGTTTATCAGTTTTCAGCCACCGCTTCATTCTGATCAACGCAGACCTCTACGTGCTTAAATACTTGGAGTCCAACTCAGA